ACAGAAGTTGTACTTAGCTCGAGACTAGATGGTGTTGTTTGAATTATTGAGCGATATTTTTTTATGGATGTTAATAGAATGTTGCACCCGCCTGCGCTGACGGTTTACGCTGGCGGGGCACCAGTGGAGGATGATAAGATGAACATGAGGTCAGGTCAGTTAGCCCATCGTGACAAATTCACCAAGAATTTATCACGATGGTTTCCAGGGAGAACCGCGTGGAGGTCAACCTTACATGGTACATTGCTAGCAGTAAGATCATCAATTCATATTCCTTACAATCCCCTTTCCCCTTATCGAGCTATATTAGTTGCAGGTTGCAGTGCTACAGGTGCTATAAACATCTGACAATAGCCCAAACAACACAATAAAAAAATAAAAATCTTATATATAAAATTCTCGTGTCACAGTTTTCGTTCCCATACTCCTCCGAAACGGGTTGACCGATTCTTATGAAATTTTGTGAGCGTATTGAGTAGGTCTGAGAATCGGCCAACATCTATTTTTCATCCCTCTAAATGTTAGGGGTAGTCCACCCCTAATTTTTTTTTATTTTAAGGCAAAACAACGTTTGCCGGGACAGCTAGTATATTATATATATAGACGGCCTGGGTGTTCTAGCGGTTTAGCACATTAATTTACTTCTGGTATAGAATAGAATAGAAAATCATTTATTCAAATAAACTTTTTTTTTTTATCTACCGCTCGTTCGGAAATTTGTCTCATCACAAGAAAAACGAGCAAGGTAGTTGCGCAAGTTTGATTCCTCGCACGGTGTAAACATTTTGTATTCATAAGTATGATTGTATCAGTCTGGGTGTTTTCTATGTATAACATGTATGTATTTACAAAAAATATCTGTATCAATAGTCTAGTACCTATAACACATGCTCTCCTTACCGTGGGACTAGATGGCGCTGTGTTAACTGTACAGGGTTATTTATTATATATTCAAATATAGTATTTGTTTTCTAATAAAACAGTATTTACATCAGGTGTCTAGTACCCATAACACAAGCTCTGCTTACCGTGGGACTAGATGGCGCTGTGTTAATTGTCCAGGGTTATATATTTATTTATTATGGATATATATGCAAAAGTTATATAATTGTAATATATTAATAATTTTAATAAAAAATTGTCATCACTACTAATAAAAAGCTACAATATTACAGCTTTATTTATTGAATTATGTCTGTCCAGCAAATAAATGAATTACTTATTTTCATTTAAAGTGTTTCTAAAAATGTATTTTTTCATATTACACTATAACTTGTTGAATTTTATAAAGAAAATATTAAAATACTCGAAATGTTTAAAGTGAAGTTTTATTTCCGATCCACTTATTTATTTATTTATAATAATAATTAAAAATTCAAACATTTAAGTTCAAAATATCCTTATTTAAAATATCTATTACAGACTCTTATGATAAGAAGCGTGACATCTTTGAAGTATCTAATTAAAATTAAAGAATCGAAAAATTTAAACCAAAAACAAAGTTATATCAATCACATGTTAAACGTAAATAACTAGTTTATGAAAACTGTTGCAGTTATTTGCGTCCATCTCCAGAGCATTGTATACAGTTTAAATAAAAACAAATGAATATTACCACTTAAGAATAAATATTCTTAAGTGTCCTTGTCTAGTCTTTGTGAAATAGACAAAGACAATGTATATAAAATAAAATAAATTATGCTTATAATTTATGGAAGTGTATAATATGAATGTGGATGGATGTAAAGGGAGGGGCCGCCCTAAGAAAAGATGGATGGATTGTGTGAAAGATGATATGAATAAAAGAAGAGTATGTTTAGATATGACGACCGATAGAGAGCAGTGGAAGAGAATGACATACTGCGCCGACCACAAATATTGGGATAAAGGCAAGGCAATGATGATGAGTTATAATTTATGAGCATTAGAGCATGTATGTGTGAGTGAAATGCATTTATGGTATCACATGATTTCTGTAGCGCTATTCGTGTATGTAGACAACGGTTACCACTCACCATCAAGTAGTCAGTCAGCTATTCCAATTGTTTGTTATTCCAAAATCATAAAAAATATAAAAAAATATGTATCTTCGATACACGTAAGCAATAACAAAATATTTTCAAATACAATTGGAGCACTGTGTGGTATTGAAAATGTCACATATACAGCACTAACTACTCGCCCCGGCTTCACCCGGGTGTACATGTATTATACATACAGACCTTCCTCTTGAATCTCTCTATCTATTAAAAGAAACTGCTTCAAAATCCGTTGCGTAGTTTTAAAGATTTAAGCATACATAAGGACGGACAGTTAGCGACAGTAACTTTGTTTTGTACTATGTAATAATGATAGGCCGTCGTGATTTTATGATTCGGCAAAAAAATAACGACTTTTTTTGTGTGGGCCACCCTTATCACTTAGGGGTATAAAAAATAAAGAACCTATTCTCAGACCTACCGAGTATACATATAAAATTGCATCAGTCAGTTCGGTTGTATATGATTCCATGGACAAACAACGTTAGGTACAATATTTTTTTATATACATATTAAGTCCACGTTTTGTACCAGTTTTAGTAATCAATAAAACAAATAAATAAGATAATAATAAAATATACATACATAATAGAACAGAACATGTACCACTCGGGACTTGAACCTGTGCTTCAATTGTCAATTATTCGGTAGGTACATCAAATCAACTAAAATGAAGAATACCTATTAAAAGCAAATATTTGATTTAACGCGGAATTTTAACCCGCTATTTAGCAAACAAGTTTAGAATCGATAGTCTCGTGTAGTTAACTAACGAAGTAGTTCGGTACAGCGATCCTAAAGACGATCCACGCCAACTAGTTCACAGATCTTTCGCTCTTCAGTTCATTAGTTTGAAACTAAAAACATCTTGCTAAAAAAACTAGAATGTATTACTAGGCAAGAAACTATATATGATATATCCTAGAAGTTTACCGGCCTACTGCTTTTATCTGTCGAGTCGAGAGTCGAGAGAAAGTTCATAGTTCTTTTACGAACGAAAAACTAGTTCGCAGAAGAACTACGAACTTGAAGTCATTTAGATTGTTGCAGAAATAAATGACATTTATAACATTTAATTTGCTTCAAAAATAAATAATTAAATTATCAATCTTTTCATTAGAAAATAGTATAATATATTTTTAATTTCTTATTTTATTAATCTGTGCACATAACCGCTAATACAAATTTTATTACTCTGTATAAATTCATTCATTCTCCATCCAATCGTGAACTATTGAACTATGCACAGTTCTAATTTGTTAAAGCAAGTTATTCAAGTAAGTACTTACTAATAATACGGTCTGGTACCTCAAGTTAAGTACCTATCTATATTTATAAGAGGAAAGAATCACTTCTACTATGTCAATATTTGTTTAAGGTTGCTGCTCAAATAGGCAAGTATCCAAGTCAATAAAAAGTAAAAAAAACTTAGTTTGCCGCTAAAATAACTGTCAAAATATCCTTGTTAATAAAGATTTATCAGAACTAAATTGTAAAAACTCGTCTGCGTGTGTACCTCAGTCTCACCTAAATATTTCAGCCGATAAGCAGCTTGCTTTGTAATCTGTTTCGGTTGTAGGGTGCAGATTAGGCAGTGAAATTACAGGGTAAGAGGCGTGACATCTTAGTAGGTCACCATCGCACCGCTCGCCATCGACAGGGAATTCATCCCCACACGCTGGAACCTAAGTGGTCTCGGACAGTGCGGTTTCAGAGGAGCTTCCTCCCGCGTACACTTATATTGTGGAATGAACTACCTGCCGAGGTTTTCTCACGAGACTACAGCATGGGGTTTTTCAAGAAGGGTATATTAAGGTTTCTTAAGGGTCGGCAACGCGCACGTGACACCCCTGGTGCTTCATGCGTCCATAGGCTACGGTAACCATTTACCATCAGATGGGCCGTATGCTTGTTTGCCACCATAGTAGTATAAAAAAAAAAAAAGGTACTCTAGAATGGCAACGCATGAGTAGTATCACGGGTGTCACATGATAACGTGATATCCGTAGCGCTGTTCATGTATATAGGCGACGGTTGCCACTTACCATCAGATGTACCATTCCAATTATCTTAAAAATATTATAAACACGAAAGTTTGTAAGTATGTTTGTTACTCTTTCAGGCAAAAACGACTGAACGGATTTTGATGAAACTTTACAGTTATCATCATCATCGCAGCCCGGAAGACGTCCACTGCTGGATATAGGCCTCCCCCAGAGAACTTCACGACGATCGGTCCTGCGTTGCATCATGCCTTCAAGCGATCTTGACCAGATCGTCGGTCCACCTTGCTGGAGGCCTTCCCACGCTGCGTCTTCCGCTCCGCGGTCACGGTTTCTTGTCAGTTCTTCTGATCTCTAAATCATTCCAAACAGACGGTAGATTTGACATATCATAAGAGTCTGTAACATTAATGTTTTTAATTAAAAAAAAATTAATACACAATAGAACTATGAACTGGACATAGTAGCTAATCTGTGCCAGTGTCTAAACATTACATTACTCTGTGCCCTCATCTCATACACTCCATCTTAGTTACTTAATGTGTTACATTAATAATTAATAAAATACAATATAAACATAATTGAAACAACAATACAGATAGTAACTAGATACCCACCCCGGCTTCGCCCGGTCGTACATGTATTATACATATAAACCTTCCTCTTGAATCACTCGATTAAAAACTGCATTAAAATCCGTTGCGTAGTATGGGACACAGTCACCTAGATACATAAAATAATAATTGCATTTAATAATGTCTGTAGTGGGTATGTTGTACATTAACATATAACTATTATTGTAGAACTTGAAGGTAGGTCTATTAGTTAAATAAATCAGTTGTCATCCAAACGTTGTTTGATTCGATACACATATAACATGGTGTCAGGTGTGAAAACTAATTTTAGTAAAGTTAAAAAATATTAATATTGTTTTGCTTATGGTCATCTTGTGTGAATAATGACAAGTGAAAAGATGAGTTCAAGGCGCGATGATAGCGTATTTACGGCGATACAACAACCGGCACCGATGCAACAAGACGGGAATATGGCGACCAATTGGCGTGAATGGAAAATGGCATTCGATTGTTTCTTAATTGCTTCTGGAAAAGAATCAGCTTCGTCAAAGGAGAAGTGTGCACTTTTCATGCATGTTATTGGAAAATATGGAAGAGAAATTTTTGAAGAACTAGATATACCGGATATTGAATTTGATTATGAAAAATTATGCATTACGTTTTGTGAACACTGCGACCCAAAGAAAAATGTTAATTACGAACGGCACATATTTTTCGAAACATATCAAGCTGAAGATAATTTTGATAAATTTATTGGTGCCTTAAAAATAAAAAGCAAGAATTGTGAGTTTGGATTATTAAAAAACAGTTTAATATTAACTCAGTTGATACGTGGAATTAAAGATGCCCAAATGAGAGAAAAACTGTTGGCAAAATCATCAATGTCCTTGGATGAGGCAATACAGTGGTGTCGTGCAGCGGAACGTGCTACAGAACAGGCAGCGGCGTGTTGCAGTCGACAACCGAACATCAGTGTGGAGCAGATGACGAGGCAAACGAGGACTACTTCAGCACAACGCCAGTGGTATAACCCAGGTGCTAATGTCAGGACTCGCGGCGGTGATGGGAGGCTGGCTACGTCGGGGAGGCGCGCGTTTGGACTACAACCGCAGTGGCGCAGCGGTGACAACGGAGCGGCTGGCCGCGGCCGGTATACAGGTTCACCTGTATGTACTAAATGTAATTTACTGCACAAGGTTAGTGATCGCTGTCCGGCTTTTTCAATGAGATGTTATCGTTGTGATAAAATCGGTCATTTCGCGAAATGTTGTAAAATAAAATTTACACATGAAGTGACAGAAGTAACTGACACCCCTGAGTACAAAGATAATAATGAGTTGTTATTGTATAATATTAGTATAGACACTTTGTGTAAACAGTACGAGTCGTGGTATGAAAATGTTATAGTGAATGGTGTAAACTTATACTTTAAATTAGATAGTGGCGCCGATGCGTCTGTCATGTCTTTATTTTCTTATAATAATGCAGGATTTAAGGAATGTCAACTTAGTAAGTGTGCCACAGTATTAAGAGAAATAAGCAAAAATAAATTGCCCGTGATTGGTTACTTCGATGCTATGATACAATATAAACAACGTAGTTGTAAAGAAAGAATTTATGTGTTAGAAGTTAACTGCAATAATTTATTAAGTTTAAGGGCGTGTGTATGTTTAGAATTAATATTGCGGTCTAATGAATTATCTGTAAACGGTATGTACATTGATGAGTCAGTCTTTCAAGGTATGGGTTGTTTGCCGTCTGTTTGTAAAATCGTTATCGACGAAACCGTACCGCCCGTGGTAAATGCCACCCGTAAAATTCCTATTAAGTTGCGTCCTAGATTAAAACAGGAACTTGATAACATGGTAAAACAAAATATAATAATTAAAGAAGAGGGCCCAACCGACTGGGTATCGAATATTGTAGTAGTAGAGAAGCCTGATAAGTCATTACGTGTATGTTTGGATCCTAGGAATTTAAATAGAGCTATTAAACGAAGTCAATTTCTGCTGCCTACACTGGACGAAATTGCTAGTAATCTGTCTGGAGCTAAGTATTTCTCTAAATGTGATGCTAAGAAGGGCTTTTGGATGCAAAAATTGGATGATTGTAGTTCTAAGCTTTGTACGTTTAGCACGCCGTTCGGAAGGTATAGATTTTTAAGAATGCCGTTTGGTATTAATTCAGCTCCGGAAATATTCCATAATGAAATGTATAAAATATTTAAAATTGAGGGTGTCGAAGTTTACATAGACGACCTATTAATATGGGGTAAAACTCGTGAGGAACATGACTCACGATTAAGGGAGGTAATTCGTAGGGCTAAAGAAAACGGTGTAAAATTTAATAAAGAAAAATGTTTATTTGGTTCAAAACAAGTAACGTTTTTAGGTCATATTTTTAGTGCTAGTGGGATGCAACCAGACAATAATAGGGTCAAAGCTATACTGGATATTCCAACACCTATAGACAGAAAGGAACTAGAACGGTTTTTAGGCGTAACTAATTATTTGTCCCGATTTATACCTAATTATTCAGACATTGCATCTCCATTGCGCGAATTATTAAAAAAGAATATACTTTTCGAGTGGCTTGAGGTACATGAAAAATCATTTAGATTATTAAAAGATAAAATTAGCAGCGCCCCTGTATTACGTTATTATTCTCCGCACGAACCGGTTACTGTATCAGTGGATGCCAGTTCGCGCGGGCTGGGTGCATGCTTACTGCAGGGGGGGCAGCCGGTAGCATACGCGGCGCGCACACTTACACCGGCTGAGTCGAGATGGGCACAGATTGAAAAAGAAATGCTGGCCGTAGTTTTCGGATGCCTTAGGTTTCACCAATACGTTTACGGACACGATAAGGTTACAATCGAGAGTGACCACAAACCGTTAGAGGCCATTTTGAAAAAACAATTGAATGAAACTCCGGTCCGGCTTCAACGAATGCTATTAAAACTGCAACGTTATTCCGTACAATTAAAATATAAACCAGGTAGATTATTATATATAGCCGATACACTATCTCGCGCGGCAACGGATCGAAGTAGGGATGACGATGAAACGTATGATGAAGTGATGATACATGTTAACACGTTATATGAAAATGTTGAGGCGAGTTCTATAATGTTAAATAAAATTAAAGAGGAATCAATAAAGGACGTGGTCTTAAATAAAGTTTCGGATTATTATTTTACAGGTTGGCCATCTAACAAAAGAGATGTAACTTCTTTAATAAAACCTTTTTGGAATGTTCACAATGAAATACATGTAGTTAATAGTATTTTATTCAAAGGGGATAGGGTTATTATACCAGATTCGTTGCGTAATGAAATGTTATCCCGGATACACGAGGGACATTTAGGTGTAGAAAAATGTCAGAGAAGAGCGCGTGAAGTCATATGGTGGCCGGGTATGTCTGCCGCCATTGAACGTGCGGTACTTAACTGTCAGACTTGCCAACGGCACCGCGCGGCCAACCCTCGCGAGCCGCTGGTGCCACATCCTATTCCTCGCCTACCCTGGGAAATCGTGGCGGCCGATATATTCGAGTTCAAAAATAAATACTATTTGTTAGTCGTAGATTACTACTCAAAATTTTTAGAAGTTACACAGATACCTAACTTATTCAGTTCATCGGTTATACATGTCATGAAAGATATTTTTAGTCGCTTTGGAATACCGGAAAAACTTGTTACTGATAACGGCACCCAATTTACGTCACAAGAATTTTGTAATTTTTCTAAGTCTTGGGAATTCAATCACGTGACTAGCTCGCCACTTTATCCCAGGTCAAATGGTCTCGCAGAGCGTAATGTACGAACTATAAAAACATTATTACTTAAATCTCACGAAAATGGTGAAGACTGGCATTTAGCGTTACTTAATTTTAGAAATACACCAATTACAGGGGAGGTTTATTCACCAGCACAGTTATTAATGAACCGCCGATTGAAAACCAAGCTACCTACTACCGATAAGTTGTTAGAATCCAATCCAGTTTCTTATAATGATAACTTTAAATATAGATTAAATAATATTAAAAAAGGCAAAAAGTATTATGACCGTGGTACACGAAATTTAGTGCCAGTGTATCCCCACGAAATGGTACGCATGAGGCAGAAAAATGTATGGGTAAAGGCCAAGGTTAAAAAACAAGAGCATGGTAATCGTTCATACTGGTTGGAAACTGAAAATGGTGGAAGGTACCGTAGAAACCGTACGGATATTTTAAAATTACCTAATTCGAAAAGCGATTGCGTAATAAATCGTAAAGAGAATAATTATTATAGTAAGTATTTAGATTGGGACGATAGTGAGCCGGTGCCATCAACGAGTTCATCCTTTCGCGTAACGGGACACGGCAACGAGGCCAAAACTCAGGAGGACAATACTCAGGGTGTTCAGGCACAGGTAAAAACTACGAGCAGCGGCCGCGTAGTAAGGTCACCCGAACGATTTGTTTGTCAATAGAAATATACAAGATGCGTAATAATACATACATATATACCTTCAACATATTAGGTAGCCCTAATTATGAATACTGATTCATCTGTGTGCATACAGTATATTATCGTATAATAATAAATAAAAAAAAAAAAAAAAAAGAAAGCAAGTGTTGATTATAATGTGTTGCATGCATCAATTCAAATTAATTAAATTCATACATATTGTTATTTCATCAATGCTTAGTCTAATATTATAGTTATACTACAGCTCATTGATTACAGTTGATTCTAAAACATGTTTAATAACTATTTGATTTTAAAATAATAAGATTTTAATAAAAATATGGGATAGTTAATAGTTTGTATGTTTTATAAATATTTGTAGCCACATTGTATACAGTGTATTCCTAATTTACATAAAAAAAAAATAATGTCTAGTGAATATAACTTTATTATTGTAGAGGGAAGATGTAGTGGGTATGTTGTACATTAACATATAACTATTATTGTAGAACTTGAAGGTAGGTCTATTAGTTAAATAAATCAGTTGTCATCCAAACGTTGTTTGATTCGATACACATATAACAATGTCTAGTAAGACAAATTCAATATTGTCTCCTAAGCACTGCTGTATCTAAACTGTGTCACCCCACCTTACATTTTCCTATTGTTATTTAGTATATAAGATCAATATTTCTATGTACATACTGTCAGTTTATCATCATCTGTAATATACATCGTCTCGACCAATAACATCTTAACATTCACCCGCAACATGTAGTTTAAAAGATGTAAGCAAACAGATCACGGAAGCTACTTCATAAAACAAAATACAATATATGAGAGAGACAGATAACAAAAAAAACTAATATAAAGTCTCTTTTCGATAAATTATATAATATTAGTTACTTGCTACTCGCCCCGGCTTCGCACGGGTGTACATGTATTATATATGTATACTAGCTGTCCCGGCAAACGTTGTTTTGCCATATAAATTAATAACGCTATAAAAAAATAGGGCTTGATGATAGAAGGGTGAAAATTTAGGATTGTATGTATTTTTGTATGTTGTATCATAAAAATATAAAAACTAAAAATTTTGTCTAAAAAAAAATTAAGGAGCGAAGTACCCCTAACATTTATGGGGATGAAAAATAGATGTTGGCCGATTCACAGACCTACTCAATACGCTCACAAAATTTCATGAGAATCAAGGGAATAAATTAACGCGAGCGAAGCCGCGGACAAAAGCTAGTACAACATAAAGTATACGCCTTTCGAGGTGTGGCAAGCCTGTTGTGATTAGTTAATGTAATTGCGGAAAGCCTTAATTTAAAGGGAGGAGCCGTTGTTGTCCTGACAACAAGCTAACAACAGAAACCAAACACATGTCTCTAATAGTGACTAAATTCTAATTCAACATAAAAATATACGCCTTCCTGGGTGTGGCAAGGCTGTTGCGTTCACTTAACGTTCCACAGTAACAGTCCCTTTAAATTTAAAAGATTTAAGCATAGATAGTGACGGACAGACAGCGCCAGCGACTTTTTTTTATACTATGTAATGATTTTTTTTAATTTCGCTACAATTATCATGTGTGTAGTTATGAATATTCGTTACGATCTTCTCTAATGGTGAATAAATTCGGATTCAACATAAAGTATATGCCTTTCGAGGTGTGGCAAGCCTGTTGTGATTAGTTAATGTAATTGCGGAAAGCCTTAATTTAAAGGGAGTGGCCATTGTTGTCAGGACAACAAGCTAACAACAGAAACTAAACACATTTCTCTAATAGTGACTAAATCTAATCTAAATATATATAACTCAAAGGTGACTGACATAGTGATCTATCAACGCACAGTCCAAACCACTGGACGGATCGGGCTGAAATTTGGCATGCAGGTCGATGTTATGACGTAGGCATTCGCTAAGAAAGAATTTTAATTAATTCTACCCCTAAGGGGATAAAATAGGGGATGAAAGTTTGTATGAAACTTTGTCAATTTTAAACCGATCGGGCTGAGACTTTGCATGCATAAACCAACTATGACATAAGCATCCCCTAAGAAAGGATTTTGATAAATTCCACCCCCAAGGGCATAAAATAGGGGATTGCTGTGTATAGAAATTACAATTTTCCATTGTAATTTCTATACACAACATGGGGTGGGCAAGTAATTTCTATACTATATAGAAGTAATTTCTATACACATTCTGGGTGTGGCAAGCCTGTATTTTAGTGTATCATAATGTAATGGTGCACCCGCCTGTGCTAACGGTTTACGCTGGCGGGGCACCAGTGGAGGATGATAAGATGAGCATGAGGTCAGATCAGTTATTAAGTGGTGCAAAAAAAAAATGTCCAACACTAGGTACTAAATAAAATTCAAATAACAAATTGTATAATCTAACACAAAAGTAAAATACATAAAAAAACAACGCAAACATCCTCTTAAACATCATAATATCCAATATTTCAGATTGTCCACTCCAGAGGCACTGGATATCGCTGCACTGCTGCGGACCCAGGGCGTCTAGACGTGGACGTAGACTTAAATATATGAATTAATTTTAATATTGTAATTTACTAACATTGTTTATAATTTGTTTACTAACATAATATGGGTACATATCAGAAATAAGTGAAATAATAATAATAAATACGAATATACATAAACATAGAGTGGTAGAATCAAAATATGACTATTCAAAAGTGCTTGTAATGAGTTTATTTGAATAAAGATTATTTCTATTTCTATTTCTGTTTCTGTTTCTGTTTCTGTTTCTGTTTCTGTTTCTGTTTCTGTTTCTGTTTCTGTTTCTGTTTCTTAAACAAGTACAAATATGCATATATTCAGTAGGAAATATTCAATTGAGTTTCTTGCCTTCGATCTTCAATATTCAATAGAGAATCGGCTACTATCTATTTTTCATAACGTTATTAATTTATATGGCAAAATAACGTTTGTTGGGAACGAAAGAAAAATATTTATTGACAACCATTATTGTATAAATGTATATTTATTTACAGAGCCAACATATATATTACATATATATATGTATATATGAATTTAAGCAAAAACTTTATTAGCCATTTTTTCTAAAATAAAAGTAGCCTAAGTCATTTCAGAGATTTGCCAAAACAAACAGACAGACAGACAAAAATTGCAAAAAATGGTATTTTTGGTGTATGTACCGTATTTATATTCATATGCATGTAGTAAAAAACGGTTATTTCAACATTACAAACAGACACTCCAATTTTATTTATATGTGCATTTCAGATTTAAATGCATTCAATAATATAAAATATTACGCGCATGACTATTCCCCCCGGCGTTACACGGCACCAATTTAATAAAAACCTCTACATCAATTTGCACTCAATACTGATCAATCGTTTTAAACGGATCCGTGAAACAGGGGTTGTAATGTTTTAAAAACTAGGCGTTACCTGCGACTTTCGTTGCTTTTTGGAGATAAAATAGAATATTTCAATAGATATAATTTTATTTATTTTATTTAATTCAGGCTACATGGCCCATATTATAAATACCTTATAGACTAACATTCATAAGAAATAATAATAAAATATGAAAAATAAAATTGTCTCTATGGTCACGGCACTGACGACGGCAATCTGCCACTGATAATATATCATATAGATAGATAGATAATTTACATAGATAGTTATATAGATAATGTAATAAACACTAAAGAAACTTTATTTAAATTATTAACCGGGTCTTAACACGAATAATTTTATGGCAAATAAAGGTATTTGTCTTTTTTTGTGGTCGGGGTGGAACGGGTGGGCCCGTGGGAAGGTTGCCGCGGCTTACAAAAAAGACAAATATTGAACACCATAGAAAATAGACGAGGAAAAATGTTAGGGCACTTGATACGGCACGATGATTTCATGAAAATTATTATTGAGGGGAAAATAGAAGGAAAGAGGGGGAGGGGAAGACCAAGGAATAGCTACATCAAACAAATTGAGGACAAAATGGGAGTCGTGTCGTATCAAGAATTAAAGAGCATGATGGAAGATCGCGGTAAGTGGCAAGAGCTCCACCGACAAGAGCGTAGCTCTTAAATTATGAATGAATGAATGAAAGGTATTTACCTCTCTCGAGTATCTAAGGCATGTCAGCTCGTGACCACGGCTAGTGCAACCTAGTCGAAACGTCGAGAGAGGTAAATACCTTTATTTGCCATAAAATTATTCGTGTTAAGACCCGGTTAATAATTTAAATAATGTATATTAAACACGAAAGTTCAAAATTAACTAAAGAAACTTATTCTAAATTTATTAATGACATATTGTGTAAGATATATCAACTCTATGTACTAGTAAAAGTATGTATTATAATAAAATAACAACTATATAACATTAATTTAACTGTGTCTCTAACAATTCACTTTAGCATTTAAAATACAACCAGCACATCCTGTGCTCAAAGACCGAATGCCGCGGCCTTTTTTATTTTTTTTTTTTTTTTCGGACTACTCTAATGCTGTTGGCCGTAGCTGGCCTTTACAGCTTCACCGGACGTTATGGGGCGAGTGCAGATGGCACTCCAAACCAAAGGAAGGACTTATGGAGCGGCTGAAGGCTAACTCCTGCCTGACGGATACGACTTTAGTCTGAGGGCACCACTAGGGGTTCGAACCTCGGCTCAGGCCGTCGTAATTTCGATCCCCGTTTGAATTGGACAGGGGATCGATCGGAGGGGCGCCCGGGGGCGGCGGTGTGGAGCGCCCGGGAGCGCGCAGGCGCCCGGTTGAATGCGCGATATTGTGTGTTTGAGGTCGTCGTCTTCGCCGGCGAGGACGGTGTCGTGTGTGTGTGTAAAAGTGTGGTCGGGGTGGAACGGGTGGGCCCGTGGGAAGGTTGCCGCGGCTTACAAAAACCCTCCCTTTTATACAGAGAAGATATCAGTGGGGGTTATATGCAACTAGTTTAACGATACCGAGTAATAATGAAACTACCTTCTTTTAATATAAAATATCAGATTTTTCGACAATATCGATGTGAACCCTAACAATTGTAATTTAAATAATGTAGATTAAATATTGTAATGGGTGAAAACTCTGATTAGTACAGTTGATGCTGTAAATAATATAATTGACGTAGTGGAGTCACTTGAAACAGTCATGCTCGCTATAAAGTTCAAACTTGTGGCGGCGTAGTGGGCCGGGTCGATGTGCTCCCTCTAATATGGTTGAGTACAATGATGGCTGGCTCATCCGTCATACTCGTTACCGGGTGCTGCTTGTGGGGACTGGTCTGTTCAGGTTGCGAACACTAATTAGATTTTTTGATATTTTTGATTTTTTTTATATAGCATATGCTGGTGGTCACTCTATTCTCCCAAATTTGAATTTAAATGAAATAGTATTATTGTAAATACGTACAACATTAAAAAAAAATACGAGCTGAGTTTCTTGTCAGTTCTTCTCATCTCGAAATCATTCCGAACTGACGGTAGATTTGACATATCATAAGAGTTTGTAATAGACCTACATGAATGAAGATATTTTGAATTGAATTTGAATAATTGATTTATTGCCAACATAACACAAATAATAGAATTTACAATAAGACACGAAATAAGAAATAAATAATAACATAGAAGTTGGCAATAGGAGCTGCCTCAGCTGTTGCTGATATAAGTACAACCTCTATGAGGTGCACATATACAGCGCTGGTTGTCAGGCAGCCACCATTACTCATTAAAAAAAACGAAGATACGGGTTTTTTACTATATACAGATACATATAAATTAAACAAAAAATATATATCTGTACATAAAAATTAAATTGAAGTGTCTGTTTGTAACATTGAAATAACCGTTTTTTACTACATGCATATGAATATAAATACGGTACATACACCAAAAAAACATTTTTTACAATTTTTGTCTGTCTGTCTGTCGGTCTGTTTGGTCCGGTTAATCTTTGAAATGACTGGACCGATAGTGACGGGACTTTATTTGCAGGTAGTTGATGTAATAAGGAGTAACTTAGGCTACTTTTATTTTAGAAACATAAAGTTAAATTACACGCGGACGAAGTCGCGGGTGCAGCTTGTACTAAATAAGATCAGCACAACCCACACAGCGCCATCTAGTCCCAAGTTAAGCAGATCTTGTTTTATGGGTACTAGACAACTGATATAAATACTTAGATATTTTTGTATATAAATACATACATAATATTTTAAAGTAAGTGTTACATATATTAGAGTTCACATCAATATTGTAGAAAAGTCCGATATTTTAAAATTATATTACATTTTTTTCCTAAATACATACATATATAGAAAACACCCAGATCGATACAAACAATCATACTCATGAATACAAATGTTGGTGCCGTGCGAGGAATCGAACCGGCGACCATCGGACGTAAAGCGGTGTGCTAGACCGCTAGACCACCGACGTCATCAATAAATTTAATTAAATAGTGACAAAGCGTAGGTTTTCATTGTTTTATTCTGAATACACTCGTAAACAATTGTCTTTGCCCGCCCCAGGAGTCGACCTGGTGTCCCCGAAGAAAACGGAAAGTTACATACGGTTCTGTACAGTCGGCGAATATATTAACGGCGGGTGTAGACTATTTTTTTTAAAGCAGCGAAACATTCTTCAGTGAACTTTGATGGAATAGAAAAAGATATGGAGACGCCGTAAGTAGGTATATGTATAAAATTATTTAATACCACAGAAGAAAAATTTCTAATAGTCATTACATAGTATAAAACAAAGTCGCTGTCGCTGTCTGTCCGTCCCTATGTATGCTTAAATCTTTAAAACTACGCAACGGATTTTTAAGCGGTTTTTTTAATAGATAGTGATTCAAGAGGAAGATTTACATGTATAATACATGTACACCCGAGCGTAGCCGGGGCGAGTAGCTAGTTATGTACATATTATGACAGTATGGCTCTTTATATGTATAAAGAGCCATACTGTCATAATATGCTTATAAATGCGAAACATTTGTTTGTCTGTTTGTTTATGTTTTCCAATGTTAATATAAGTTTATTACTATTACATCAATAGGGTAGTCAGAGTCATTGTCAACTGTCGATGTAGTGCTGACAACACTTGACATGTCCACATTTCGCTCGGTATGTTTGAATAAAGAAAACACATTACTCCAATATAGGGCGGTAGTCTCTAGCCTACTTGCGAGTCATGTTCTCCTGGTACATTCACTGTAGGATCGGTAACACTAAGACAACTTCACGACTGTTATCTTTGATGGAGTAGTCAGAGTCATTGTCAACTGTCGATGTAGTGCTTACAACACTTGGTATGTCCACATTTCGCTCAGTATGTTTGAATAAAGAAAACACATTACTCCAATATAGGGCGGTAGTCTCTAGCCTACTTGCGAGTCATGTTCTCCTGGTACATTCACTGTAGGATCGGTAACACTAAGACAACTTCACGACTGTTATCTTTGATGGAGTAGTCAGAGTCATTGTCAACTGTCGATGTAGTACTGACAACACTTGACATGTCCACATTTCGCTCGGTATGTTTGAATAAAGAAA